TTGAAGGGGACATTCTAGCTACAGCAACTGCCTTACTTATAAGTCCATTGGGCAAAAGCTGGCATTCACAGGAAAAACAAAGAAAAGAGCTATATCGGAAGAAGAAACCAGTGTAACACCACTAATTAATCCTAGTGAATGTAAGAGTGCTTACTTTTTTAAGCCCTTCAAGAATGCAATGTGTTTCTAGCCTTAGTTAACTTTGCACCACGCTAGGGTGTGCATGGCTGAAACTGAACCAGAATGGACAGTGAATATATCTGTAAGTAATAAATATATCTGTAAGTATCCTTGTTGAAAAGGATCTATAATCTCAACAATCCAGATGGCATCCTCTTTGGTGTGAGGTCTTCAGCTCAAAAGCTCTTCCTCTTAGAGCTTCCAAGGACTCCAGACCAGGCCCTCAATGCAGACGCAGATTGAAGGAAGACCCTAGGCAAGGAACTTGAACAGTGCAGCTGCTCCTGAGCATTTTCTCCCTACTTACTCTCCAGGGAGCTTACCCAGAGTGTGGATTGCCACACAGAATGTCAAAATTTGACTCAAATCAAAGAATTGGAGTAGTGTTTTTAAATTACTAGTCATGGTTCTTCTGTGGGTTATGAGATCACTTCAGCCTGGTCCAGCCAACTTTTAAAAAAGTAGACTATGATAAGCTAGGATAGTATACAAACAAAATACCAAGACACTCAGTACAAACCAAGCATAAGTACTATATTGTAAGCTTGTTTTATGTGTGGTGTATCTGTGTGTAAACACATACACAAATTCCCACATAAATAAATACAAAGTAAATATATACACACACATAACCTATTCTGTATAAGCGAATGCTGGATCACATGGGTTTGCCATTCATCCCCTGGCTAAGGAAAGCTTACTCAATCTCCCTGGGACTTGTTCTTCTATCTGTTAAATTGGGACAATTTTCCATCTTTACAGTGATCTTTTGAAAAAAATTTAATTTAAATTTTTGATTAGTTTTTAACAGATTCAATATAATTCATAAATAAAATTCTAAGACTTGAATGATATTCTCTTCCTCCCTTCCTACCCCCTTCTTCCCTCTCTCCAGGTCAATCTCCTGCTCTCTAATGGCTAGCAATTGCAATTAAGTAAATGTTAAGTAAACTAAATATTTCCTTTATGATTACATGCAAATAAATGATACTTTATCAACAATTAGAAATTTAGCCTAAAATCATGTTAAATGGATGATATTTTGAAAAAGGAAATGAGAGGTTTTGAGTGGTAAAATTACAAGTTTAAAAAAATCCCCCTTCATTTCTTCTGTGTTTTTATTATCTATAAAGAGCATGCATGGTGTTTTATAATGAGAAAAAGATATGGATATATCTTTAAAAACAGCAAAACCCTCTATGCTCTATGCATGACAGAGGAAACCACAAAGACTTTAGAAGGTTAAAAAAGTAAAAATTACAAAAATGCAGAACTTCCAAGAACAGAATATCTTTTAGTGGTTTTGTTTGATTGATGGGGCCATGACCATGCAGTAAGTGCCTGGTTTGTGGACATTTTCTGCTGACTGTGTCTAACCACTGCCTGGGTTGTGGGAGCAGGGTGTGTATGTGGAGAGGGAGTTTAAGTCCATTTAATCAGGATCACCCCTTGGATGTTTAAAGAGCAAGGGGTTGCTGTGTGACTTGGGCTTTTTCTGACAAGAAAGCCCTCTCCCAATGCACTTGTTGCTACATGCATCAACTTGAAAGTGTTCCAGGGATAGTTAAACCAGGGTGATTCTGAAGCAAGTATTTATGAGGCACTAGGATCCAAACATCCATTCACTTAGCAAAGTTTATTTTGGTCCTTTGGCTCTTTGACTCATATCTATGAATTATTGAGTCCAGGAAAGTTGTTTGAGACAGACAGCAAGTGGGAAATAACCCCCAAAATTATACAAACCAATGCCTCACTCCCAAAATTCACCCCCCCAAATTTCACTTGATTTTTTAAAATTTAATTAGAGAGAGAGAGAGGGAGAAAGAGATAGAGAGAGAGAGATAGAGAGAGAGACAGATATCTCCCATCTGCTGGTTAACTCCCCACATGCTTGCAACAGCTGGGGTTAAGCCATGTTGAAGCCAGGAGTCTAGATTTCAATCTGGGTCTCCTACATGAGTGGAACTGGCCCAAGTAGTTGGTCATCACAAGCTACCTCTCAGAGTATGCGTTAGTAGAAAGCTGAAATCAGAAGTGGAACTGGCACTTAAACCCAGGAACTTCAATGTGGAATGCAAGTGTCCCAAGTGGCATCTTAACTGCTATGTCAAACATTCACCTCAAAGTTCACTTGATTTGAAGAACTTTCATTGCTATTTCAGCTTTTTGGCTACTTACTTATCACCAAATGTTGCTCTGTTAAACGTCTTACTCAAAACTCCAAACTGATGGGGATGGTACATTGAGAGCAATATTGATAGCAATAATATAACTAATAGTGGCTGATTTTTGAGCACATGCTATGCGTAAGGGACTGTGCTGATCATTTTGTATACTTCATCTAGTTAGTCCTCACAACAATTTATGAAGTAGAAAGTCATATTATCCCCATCTCCCAGACTAGGAAACTAAGGACAGAGGGGAAGTAAGTGTGGCACAGCCTTGAATGCCATGCCAAAGACTTTTGAGTGTGAACATTTAATGCAGGGAAGTGCATGCTTGCATCTGCATTTTGGAAAGATAACTGGGTATCAGTGAATAAGAGTTGTACCAAAGAGGAGAAACACCAAGTAGATAAAAACTAATTGGGGGCCACCACCCACTCTCTGTCCATCCTTGCAGAACTGTGTGTCCAAACATGCTGAAGATGGAATGATCTTGTGAATCCACTTACTTATCTTTCAGTGGTTCCCATTTCCTTTTGCTTCACTGGGAAATTCCTGCTCCATCTTAAAAAGCTGCTTAATGGGACAGTTCCTGTCTGAAGAATTAGCTAGCATGCCTCTTGCCAGTGTGAAAGGCTGAGAGCAGGGAATTTGGAGTCAGATGGATCTGTGCTGCCTTTCATAAGCTGTCTCTTATTCAAGACTGTATCTCAACTCCAGAGTGGGGATCTTATCACCTCACCTGTAATGTGGATGTGGCATCTCATAAACCTCTATAAATTGTATTTATTTTCATTAGTTTGTCATCCCAAGGATCTTCCCCCAATAGACTTAATTGTACCATTCTGTTTTTTCTAAGAGCTTCATCCTCCCTAACACAAACATTGTTACGGTAGGTGGAAGTTGCCTCTGCTCACCAGCAAGGGTCTGCAGCTTTCTCCTGCCTCAGCTACGTTCTGCCTTTTGGATCAAACACAGCAGCTTGACTGATGCTCTCCAGCCCTCAGATTTCCATGCAGCAATCCCCCAAACCTGTGACTATTTTACTTTAAATGGTAGAAAAAGACATCATAGGTGTGTTAAGGATCTTGAGCTGAAAAGATTATTCTGGATTATCCAAGTGGGCCCAATGTCTTCACAAGGCTCTCTTTAGGAAAGGCAGGTAGGGTATGAGAGAGGGGAGAGAGATAACGATGGAAGTGGAGGTTGTAGTGATGCAGTTTGGAAAGAGAGGAAGAAACCACAAGCCAAGGAGTGCCAGTGTCCTCTGGAAGCTGAGAAAGGCAAGGAAATGGATTTTCCTCTAGAGCCTCAGAAGGAACCCAGCTCAGAGTTGAGCTTGTAATATTCATGTTGGGTTTATGACCTCCACAGGACATATTTGTGTGGTTCAATCCCCTGAGTTTGTGGCAATTTGTTACAGAAGCCATAGGTAACTAATATACTCATTTGTTACACTTTTCCTTTCTCCCCAGAGTGCCGAAATGTCTTCTTAAACTATGAATAAAAATACCAACTGGCACCTCTCCTGGTTTTCACATCTGTTTAACATACAAACTTAACACCTCTGATGTTAAGGAACCCATTGAGGAGTGAACCACAAATAAGATTTCTGTGAATCTGAGAAAATTCAGGGGAAAAAAAATCTACATGTGTAGGCTTAGAGCAACATTAACAACATTAACAGTCCATAAATAGAATATAATAAAATCAGTCCCATAGGTTGTCAAATGAAGGCTCCACCACAGGAAGTAATATGGGAACAGGACTGCTTTTAACATCTCATTTTTGTGAAACGTCAATATTTTCAAAAGACCCCAATAAAGACTGTTTTTGAATGTAATTCCTAAAATTGTCAAAGGTACTTTGTGTATTGGAAAACTCCAACTGAAAGGTAATGCAGTTAATATACATTTTTTGTAGTACATGATTATTTACAGTAAGTAGTCATTCTAGGTTCATTTTCGTTAATTTTTTGCTGATACTAGGAGAGCCTAAATCATCAGGGGATAAAAGCAGAAACAGACTTTTTAGTGATTATTTTTTAAGATTTATTTTTATTTATTTGAAAGACAGAGTTACAGAGAGAAGTAGAGACAGAGAGAGAGGTCTTCCATCTGCCGGTTCACTCCCCAGATGGCCGCAACGGCCGGAGCTGCGCCGATGAAGCCAGGAGCCAGGAGCTTCTTCTGGGTCTCCCACATGGGTGCAGGGGCCCAAGCACCTGGACCATCCTCCACTGCTTTCCCAGGCCATAGGAGAGAGCTGGATCGGAACAGGAGCAGCCGGGACTAGAACCGGCGCACATATGGGATGCCAGTGCTTCAGGGCAGGGCTTTAAGCCGCTGCGCCACAGTGACCCTTTAGTGATTATTTTTTTAAAGCAGCCTGGTAACGCTTCATTGATATTAATGTTCATTTGGCAAAGCTAATAATAATAGTAAAAGTTAATATGTAGCTGTGAAGTAATGCAGTGATTGCAAACAAGCAAACAAATGTCAGCCAATGTACAACAAGCAAAACCGGTCTTCACTAAATGAATCCTTCCTCCAAATGATTTTCTACTTAAAATTCTAGAGTTTTTTTCTTATATGAAAATGTGATATGTCAACATTTTTTGCTCTATTATTAATAAACATTTTGACTCTACCAAGATCTGGTTTATATTAGTTTTTTATTTAAGATTTGAAAGATGATATAAACATCAGAGGACTCTTGGACAGTTAGGTGAAAGTGAAGGGGGAAAAAATAACCAAACAGGCGCTAGAGCAAACAAACAGATTTAGGCAGCAAGCAGCTACTCCTTCAGGAGTTTCTTGATCACTTTCTTGTACAGGGCCGCCTGCGGATCCAGGCAGAGTTTCCTCCCGTTCTTCAGCGTGGCTCTGCCAGGGATGAGAGGAGGTGGGTTCGAAGGCAGGAAGAGAAGGGGTGGGGTGGGCAGAAGCGCAAAGCATGGGCACCGATCCAAGATCCAAGGGACACGAGGACTTACATCAGTTGGGCGGTGGGGCAGTGGCCTCCGGCCTTGATCAGCTCCAGGTTGGTGATGTGCCTGGGCCGGACGAGGGAAGTGGTCTTCACACACACGCAGTGCAGGTCTCCCTCACTTTCTTTTGGGTCATCTGAGAGGGAAGGAGGAAGAGGAGGAGAGAGGGGAGGTGGCAGGGAGTGGGGGCTTTGGATGGCCAAAGGTACCTCAGCGGTATTTCCCACTGCCTTGGGCCTTCATTTCTTGCGCCATACATCACGCCGCCCTCGGAAAGGGGACGTTTTGACCGCCGGGTAAAGCATGCGTGCAGCCCAGTGCGGTGCCCACGCTCGCGGCAGGTGCGCCCAAGAGTAGCGGGACCCTGGGCGTTAGCGCCTCTTCCCTTGCCCCAGCACGCGGACCCGCTCTCAATCGCTCCCGGCACCTTCTCCGGTGTGGGTTCTCACCACTGGCGGCGGCTGCCACAGTCAGCAGCAGCAGCAGTCCCAGGAGCAACAGTCCGCGGCTTGGCCGGGGTCGGGGGGCACCAGACGCCTCTGGGATGCTCATATCGCCGGGGCTGCAACCGGATGGAGCGCGCGAAGGAAGGCAGGCTGGGGCTCCGCTGGCCAGTGGCTGCAGGGGCGCTGTGAGCCCGTTTTATCTTTACTGTCCATGCAGTCCGGAAGCCTGGGTGAAGGGTGAGAAGCCACGGCACGGAAGCTGTGCACTGAAGAACTGGGCTCTGGCCAGCCAAGATGAAAACAAAACCAAACAAAAACTGTCTGGAATCAGTCACTTATCTCCGCTGGGAGCTGGGTGCAAGATTAACATCGGCAACCTTAGCTGAACTTACATATGTGTATTACAAACATGTGTTTGTGCATCTAGAAATAGTGCTTGAATCTTGCAAGGTTCGCCTTTTCTCTTTTATGTTTAATAGCAGTCTTTTCTGTAGTCAGCAAGCAGCAGACACAGCAGGGATCCTCAGGACCCAGAGGACACTTTTTGTTCCCCTCCCAACTCCCACCAGCATTACCAAGCACTGCCCATAGGCTCCAGCCTTTCTTGTTGCTTACTAGCAAGTTGAGCCTTGTGGCTGTATGTGTTAAGAGTGTGCTGTTTGTAGATGTTTCTGCTACTAAAAAGTTGAATCTGGTCTCCTCCACCTCTATTCTGAATTTCATCTGAGTGTGGAAGCCTTCGTCCAGTCATCAGATTGGTCAGGTGGTACCAGTAGCCATTCAGCTCACTCCAGGAAATGTCTATTATCCTCAGCACTCTTACTCATAAAAAATTGCAGGTGATATTTGAATGCATTCTTTCATAAAAACTTAGTACCTGAATGTTCCTCCATCCAGCTCCATTCTAGACAATATCCCAGAGGAGAGGACAAGAAGAGTTTGCTGGGCCACATCTCCTAGCACCTGCTGTACCTTTGGCAAGTCCCAGAGATGGGTGAGACAACACCAAGGAAACCAGAACAATGGAAACTTAGTGTGAAGACAATATGGAGGCCAGGGGAGGGTATGCTGCAGAATCCCACACTAGAAATAGTACAGTCAGTGTGGACTGTCTCCCCTTCCTTGAAAAAGGATGACTTTGGCTCTTGATCGGGGTAAGGTTCACGTTCATTACAAAGCCAGAGGCCCTCCATCACGTTGATGAAGGGTAGGAAAGGTCATCAGCAGCCCACTGTATGAACTACTGAGGGCTTTGAGCTCAACAAGACAGGACTCCTGCAGGAATGTGCAATTGAATTCTTGGACCTAGCATTTCTTTCTCCTACTCTTCCACCACCTGCCTTTTCAGCTAAATCCTATTCCCGTCTCTGGCGTCAGCTAACATCTCATTTCCTCATCAGGACTCTCCTGGCAGCTCTATCTGCTATGATTGTTTGTTGTTCTATCTTGTGACACCCTCTGCTTTCCTGTTTCTCGCAGATGACACCAACACCCATGCACATATTATACACACAGAGATGTGTGAGTATTTAAAATGAGTTCTTTCCTGAAATGGCATGCTCTGTGAAGTTTCTGTTTATCACTCTTGTAGTCTCTTCCACCACTGTTTTAGCACACTGGGCGGAACTAAATATAAAGTAGCTACATTAGGGAATATAATAAGTGTTGAAAACGTGGTGATGAGGCTCTGACTTGTTCACATCTCAGTTCTTTCACGCAACTGGAGGATGCCTTCACGTTAACACATGTCACATTTGGTTGTAACAATGAGTCTCCCTGTCTGTCACCCTTAGACAGTGATCTATCTCTTTAAGGGGGGTTCTTTGGGACATACATTGCTGAACATACGGCATCCAACAGTGGCAACTGTAGAATATGTGCCATCCACATATGGAACTGAAACGTGAGGCCCTTCTGGCTTAGCAGCAGGAAGAATGGGCAGGAGGGATCCTTCTGAATATGAAGGAGCAGCATACCCCTAGCTTTCCGTATGTGCAGTGTTGAGGAAACTGGGTGGCACTGATTGGAAATTGAGCCATCATTTCTCAACATCTAAGAAGAAAATTTCTGCACATGTACACAAAAATAAAAGTCATCTGTGTCTCAGGGATTATGAACCCAAGGCAAACACTGTGGCAGCTCTCAAGAGCTGGCCTGTCAACTGTGAGTCACAAGCCTATTTTGAAGAAAAAAAAATAATGAAAACAACTGTAATCCCTATTTACTGCTTCATTACATGTGTCTTTTTGCCTAACTGTTACTTAGTAAATGCATTTAATTTTTAGAGAGAGCATTTTTTTAATGATTTATTTATTTATTTATTTGAGAGGCAGGGTTACAGACACAGATAGGGAGAGACAGAGAGAGAGGTCTTTCATCCACTGGTTCACTCCCCAAATGGCCGCAAGAGCTGGAGCCAGGCCAATCTGAAGCTAGGAGCCAGGAGCTTCTTCCGGGTCTCCCACACAGGTGCAGGGGTCCAAGCACTTGGGCCATCTTCCACTTCTGCTATGGCTTTCTCAAGCCATGGCAAAGAGCTGGATCACAAGAAGAAAAGCTGGGACACGAACCAGGGTCCATATAGGATGCCAGCACAGCAGGCAGAGACTTAGCCTGCTATGCCACAGTGCCGGCCCCTAGGGAGAACATTTTAAGGCAAAGAGCCCATGAAGGTTTGGAGATAAAATGAGTCCCAAGCAATGTGAACTTGGTGTTCTACATGCTGATGACATGAACACGTCCCAAAATCATGTTCAGGTTGGAGTAGCTGAATTCATTTCTTCTTCCATAACAAATTCAGTATATGTAGTATGCTATTTATAAGTCAGGTCCTATTTTGTGTGTCAATAACACAATGTGTGTGATATGTACATAATCTCTTCATCAGAGAAATAAGAATAAAGAAAGTGGTGTTGCATAGTACTTAAGAGCACAGTTTCAAAACCTTGACTGTAGCCTGCTTAGTTATCTGATCTTGGGGCCCATTGTTTAATCTTTTTGAACTTCAGTTATCTTCTTTGTAATAAGGGGCACATTTAATGATAACAAAATATCACTACCATTTATATATGGGTTGTTATGTGATATAAAATACTTCAAGCATCTTGAATTTATTAATATTTTAAAATTTTCACCTCAACTCTATGAGATAAACAATTTTATTATCACATTTTGTAGATGAGAAAACTGACACAGAGAGGTTACGTAACCTAAACAAAATTACCAGCCAGCAAGTGATAGTGTCAGGTTACCCAGTTATCTGGTTCTAGAGGACATATCCTTAACCAGATCATAGTTTGCAAGAATATTTAATTCTTACATGCAAAACACCTAACATGATAGCATATTAGATTGATATTTTGGTTATTTTTATACTACATTAAAAATGGACAGCTTGGGGCCGGCGCTGTGGCATAGCAGGTAAAGCTGTCGCCTGCAGTGCCAGCATCCCATGTGCTCCTCTTCCAATCCAGCTCTCTGCTGTGGCCTGGGAAAGCATTAGAACATGGCCCGAGTCCTTGGGCCCCTGCACCCACTTGGGAGACCTGGAAGAAGCCTCCTGGTTCCTGGCTTTGGATCAGCACAGCTCTGGCAGTTGTGGACAATTGGGGATGAACCAGCTGATGGAAGACTTCTCTCTATATATATCTCTCCTTCTCTCTCTCTCTGTAACTCTGACTTACACATAAATAAATAAATAAATTTTTTTAAAAATTGGACAGATCATCCACTTGTACAATACTAAAGTGTAATTCCTCCCCACCCCATTCTGCTAAAATTAATAACACATTACAATAAATAAATAGCACATTTTGATTTCATGTATACCTTCTATAGGAATAGTGTGTATATAAATTTTAGGGGTTAAGAAATGAATGAGGGGCTGGTATTGGGGTGCTGTGGGTTAAGCTAATACTTGGGATGTTTGCACTCCATATCTAAGAGTTTGGGTTCAAGTCATGGTTATTCTGCTTCTGATTCAGCTCCTTGCTAATGTTCCTAGGAAGGCAGTGGATGGCATTCCAAGTATCTGAGACTCTGCCACCCAAGTGGGAGACCTATATGGAATTTCAGACTCCTAACTTTGGCCTGGCCCACTCCTAGTCACTTCAGTCATTAAGGGACTGAACCGAAGATGGGAGATATGTCTATTTCACTCTCTCTTTCTCTGTCACTCTACCTTTCAAATAAATGACTAAATCTTTAAAAAAAATAAAAATTTGTTTGATTAATAAAAGTCTAGTGAAACTTAAATTCTCTACTGTATTTCTTTGCAAACATAATTCTAATAATAAATCTAGAAGCACATAGATATTAAAGAAAATGCAAACATTCCAGAGTAAAATATTTTTGCTGCAGAAAATACTGGAATTTTAAAAGTAGAATATATTAGTGTTTTTGTATCATGTAGTTTTTGCTTTACCAATGTTATATATATTCATCTGAAATTAAATAATAAGTGCTTACAAAGCTCAACATCAAAAGACTTTATTATTTTTAGCGTTTAAATGTGAAAGTAAACATTAGAAATACATTTCATAAAATTCTGGGAAACAAGACATCTTAAGACTGAGATAATGAAAACTCTATTAAAACACTAAACATGTTGATAAACATTTATCATGCAAGTATCCATGCTGGGCACTCTGCAATTCCTAATATCATTGCTCACCATAAATTTAATTAGTCTTCATGGGCATGTCTACTCTAACAGTAAAGCAGTGGAAACAATTAACACAAATGTGTTAGGAAAGAAATCTTCAAATAAAGAAATGCAAAGCACAGTACAATGTTTAGCCAAGAATCAGAGTAAGTCATGCCATACAGTTGTGTTTATTTTCATGCTCTTTCTGCCGTAGTTTAGCCAGCCTTTGCAGGACATAATGGGATTTTTGAGACTGAAAGAAAAACAGACCCCAATTTTAATACAGTGACAACAGGTATTCTGGATAAATAAGACCTCTAGCAAGTTAAAGCTTTAAAAGCTTACCATTCCTGGGAGGTAAGAAAGTCTGGCAGAAAGTGAACAGGTTAAACAACAGATCCGTCATGCTTTAACATTTTCTGGAGCATTTTCTTGATTCTTGGAGCTTCTGTGTTCAGGCAGATTTTCTTTCCATCCTTCATTGTGGCTCTGTAAGACAGAAGAAGTTATCTATGGGTGCCCTGGCTTGATTGTCAGAAGGGATCCATGATGTTGGAGCTAATTGGGTGGTTGGGGAAGGCAGTGGAAGCCTTCTCTGATGAGGCAGTGTTAGAGAGGCAGGAACTTACATCAACTCCATTTTGGAGCAATGGACTCCTTCCCTGATGACCTCCAATTTGCTGATGCTACTGGGATGAATTCGAGACATTGTCTTCAAACATGTGCAGCGCAGTTCAGCATACATCTCTGAATCTACCACTAGGGTAGAAAAGATGACTCTATTAGTGGTCATGATTTTTTCCCTCTTTCCTCTTTGTATGTATCTCAGAAAGCCATTGAGAATATAATCAGCAAACCTTTGGTAAAGCCTTAGCCAAAAGCCCAGCACATGAGAAGTGCCCGTTAAGCATCTATCCTTCCTTTAGAGTTATTAGTGTCATGGTCTTCTCCAGCCCCAGGATTCACAAGATAGTCTCATCCCTAGACACAGCTGTAAGAGAACAGCCACAGCTGCAGGGAAACAGGGCCCATGCCTTAACATTCCCCAAGTTTCTCTTACTTTGTCCACTGGTGGAGGGAACCAGCATGGTCAGGAGCAGTGACAACAGCAGCAACACCTGTAGGACACAAAACCGGCGGGCACTGGTGCCGAAGGAGGTGGTGTTCAGCTTGGGGCTCATGGTGGAGAAGATGAGCTAGAGGTGTTTCCAGAGCCAGGAGCCCTTCGCCTGGAGGTGAGTTGCTGCCTGGAAATCTTCAGCTCAGTGGGGTTTTTTTGCTCTTCAGATGCCTTTTATACACACTACTTCAAGCTCAATAGGGAAGAAGAGGCGGGGAAAGAGGATATGTGGTAAGATACCCATAAAAGTGCTGTCAAGTGTGCCTAACCCAGATAATTACCACACTGGTCAGAATTCCTGCTAAGTTGTGTTTTATGCTTATTTCACATTCTTATTCTTCCTTTCTCAATACCCATCTTCTTAACACACATATAAGCATTCTGGTTATGGAAGTAGGAACTAGACTGAGCTACTCTACGTATTTTCTTTGTATGACTGTGTAGCAGTATACTCTGACTTTCCTGTAATGCAGTTTATAAGTTTAATAGATACTTACAAGCACTAGAATTCATAAAAATGCATGAAAAAGGGAGTTACCTTTCCTTTCCAGTTGCTTGAAAAAGCAGTTCTGTCATGGTTGTTGATAATTGTGGGACTGGTTTGGAGTATGTGATAAAATATGAGCCAATACCACTTGTATAGAATCACTTTGTATATTACATTTTGAGCTTTTTTCTGTCTTCTAAAATGTATTAAATTTTGCAATTTCACTGAGAAATTAGAAGCAAAACTCACCCATACCCCTCCCCAGTATTATAAAATAAGGTATTTGTTTCTACTATCAGAATACATCCTAAAAAGCAAGATCCAGAATATTTTTTCCCTTGAGTCTTAAAGTAATAGAGAAATAATTGATAAAATTCATTCTAAAAGATTTATACACTGCAGATACATGTGGAGTACATGTAAGTTCCTCTTCATTATTATTCCACATTACCATTCTCCAGTGATACCTTTAGTAAAATTGACATTAGTTTTCTATTCTGTCTGCATTTATATTGTACATATGTATGCATGCACAGAGAGACATATAACACATGGAGATACATATTTTCATATGGATCATTAAATCATTATTCTATATGGATCATTAAATTCATATAACTTACTTTTGGCCTTCAAAACTATTTATTCAGCATCCTTATACCTACATCACTGTAGATTTGCCCCATTCATTTTAATATGGCACTACATTCTGTGGTAGGGATAATGTTCAGCCCGTGCCTTGCTGGTGACTTTGACTTTGCACTGTTACAAATTGCAGTGAAATCCTACTTGGAAAATCTCAGATCCTAATCTGAGATGTAGACTAAGCCCCACAGAGGTAGAGGGGGACTGCACGTCACATGCTGACCTGTATGTCAGGGTCTGGATCCCTGACCCAGCTCTAAGACTTGGCTCCTCACCTAGACTGTACACTCTTGAAGGCAGAGTACATCCTAGGTTCCTTTGACTATGTCATATATCTTATAGCCTGTAGAGTAATTCAATACACAGGTTAATCACACACAGTATCAGTAAATAAATCAATGGATATATATCATATGCAGAAAAATTTCTATTTTCTTACAAATCAGCTGAAATTCTCAAATCAAGCTCCACGTGATCCAACGCACTTGTGGTATAAAACAGTGAGTAAGGGTAAAGGAGAAGGCAGTTCACAAGTGGCCTGACCACAAGTTGTCTTCCTGTTACAACTACATACAAGTTATATGTGATATTAAACTTCCCAAATTCTTCTACACGTTTATGCCGTTAAAAGTCAAATAATTTTGAAAGCACTAAAATACAGAATTACATTATTCAAAAGAATGAGTACAGGATACCTTTTCCAACTGTTTACATTTTCACAGTTAATAGTTGTTGACTATGCCTACAAAAGTTCTACTTAAGTGCTATTTTTGAATGTATAATTTATTTTTCTCTACCTCATTTATTTTCTTATAAATTAGAATTAGTAGATTTAGTAGTGGACATATTAAACTAAAATAATTTCCACCTGTTCCCAAACAGAAATTCATAGGCAAGCTTAAAGGAAGGGCTTTAGCTGAGCATTAGTATCTTCCTAAGGGCTTAGTTGTGGAATCAGTGACAGAGAAATGCTTGGTAGGAAACAACAACGAGGGAATGCTTCTTTGCAGCTCTTTCTGAGTGGCAACGTCATAGTCTTTTCTCATTGTTTTCACTGAAATACTGTTAATTCCCTAGTCTGGTGTATTTTCACTAAATATAAGTTCAAGATTATTTGCAGAGGAAGATATGAATGTTTTTAACATTATTAAGTGTATCTTTCCTTTTCTGTCCATCACAACCACCCAAAACACATTGCTGACAATATTTACTGAATTCACTCAACATTTTCATTCTCTCGAAACTTACACTGTTCAGATTCTTCCCTAGATCATTCAGTATTATTACTCAAAAGTCCCTGACCCTTTTGCAGAATTATGTGGAAAATCATCAGAGATGATTAGGTCAGGGTATTTGGGGTGGTTGATACCAGTAAAGAGGTGACATGTAGCACAGTATCATCATCATCATCATCATCAAGTCATTGTCTTAATCAACAAATATGTCTGGTTACACTTTGTCAGCAAGTTTCAAATTGAAACATGAGCACATTTCTTCACTTATTAATATTTCACAAGCCGATTAGCATTTGAGTTAAAGCAACTTTCTGCTAGCTTTTATTTATTCAAGAAATATTGATTAAATATTTATCATATGCTAGGCATTACCAAGTTCTTTTTTGTGTGTGACTTTTTAATTTAGCTCTTTCTTATTAAAAAGTGAGCATTTGTGCAAAACAATGGAATCTAAATAATCCTCTACCATTACCATGACTACTCTTTTACTGTCACTTACATCATTTCCTTTAATTTCCATGATGAGAAATGCAATCCAGATGCTAATAAACTGACTTTACAAAAGTGGGTAAAAGATATCTTAAAATAAATTATTTAATTAAAAGCAGATGGCTTTTACAAAATTTTGAATTAAATGAATTCCAGAAGTAGAAAGAAGTTTCAGAAGTTCTTGGGTTTTAAAAATAACAATATCCTTTTTATAAATCTTGCACTGTCTCTGAATTTTTTTTCTTGTAAGCTATTTTATCTCTTTTCTCTTTGCAAAGTCACTAAGGAAATAAGAAAATTCCTTTGACCAGACAACAGAAATGATCTTTTAGCTATTTTAAAACATATAGAAAGAAAGACATGGCCAGTGCCACGGCTCACTAGGCTAATCCTCCACCTGTGGTGCCAGCACTCCGGGGTTCTAGTCCCGGTTTGGGCGCCGGATTCTGTCCCGGTTGCTCCTCTTCCAGTCCAGCTCTCTGCTGTGGCCCTGGAAGGCAGTGGAGGATGGCCCAGGAACTTGGGCCCTGCACTGGCATGGGAGACCAGGAGGAAATACCTGACTCCTGGCTTCAGATTGGCACAGCGCGCTGGCCGTAGTGGCCATTTGGGGAGTGAACCAACGGAAGGAAACCTTTCCCTCTGTCTCTCTCTCTCACACTATCTAACTCTGCCTGTTAAAAAAAAAAAAGACATTATCAGACTGTTATTCATTAAAACAAAGGGAATTAACCTTGCCTTATATAGAATAATTTGAACTGACATCTTCCAAATTCTTCTTTCATGTATAATGGAAACAAGTTATTATCTGGAAATTAATCATAAAAGCAATTGGTACAGCAAAATTGGAGGTTAAATTGTTAAATTTTGAGTCAGTTTGGGTCAATAAATTGAAATAGTAGCCAACAAAAGCTTTTCAATACGTGATGGAACCACATGTATCTTCAGCATGACTCTGATCTACAGTAAGTGTCCAGATCTCTATTACTCTAGCCTTCAAGTTAACTGAGTTTTGCTGTACACTGCCCAGAATTGAGGCATGGGTGGGTGTGGAGTAGAGTGGGGTTACTGAAAGAGTTGGGTGCTGGTACTTAGGAGTATTAAAAATGTTGCAGTCCTGAGAAACTTTAATTTTATGTTAATTGCTATCATTCATTGAACATCAAATGCATAAATATTACCAAATTAAATACAATACATTCATTGTTTTGAAGAGAATTCTTTTTTCTTTTTTTAATTTTTTTTTATTTTGACAGGTAGAGTTATAGACAGTGAGAGAGAGAGAGAGAGAAAGGTCTTCCTTCCATTGGTTCACCTCCCAAATGGCCACTACGGCCGGACTGAGCCAGGAACCAGGTGCTTCCTCCTGGTCTCCCATGCAGGTGCAGGGCCCAAGGACCTGGGCCATCCTCCACTGCCCTCCTGGGCCACAGCAGAGAGCTGGACTGGAAGAGGAGCAACTGGGACTAGAACCAGGCGCCCATATGGGATGCCGGCGCCGCAGGCGGAGGATTAGCCAAGTGAGCCATGGCGCCGGCTCCTTGAAGAGAATTCTAATACAGTGTCTTCTGAAAGCCTGCAAACACATTAAGTTGTTACCAGGATTAAGGATTTGCTTTTACTGTGTAACATGCTGTAGCTTAATGTAACAGTTTATGAGGTTTGGCAATTCTATGTGCTAATGAGAGGTTTCACTGCCAGGTCTTACCTGAGCTCTTGTAAGTGTGTGCAGTAAGAAAGTCATTGCAGCTGTCAAAAGAAAGTCAAAGACTGGCCTCATCCATTGTGGAGACAGCTGGTACTGGCTGCTAAGATTCCTGCTAGGCACCTGGATGGTCAGCTTCCTCCTCTCCTAAGTGGCACCATTTTAATTCTCAGCAATGAGTTGAAAGGATAGAGGGGGAAAAAGGTGGAGGGAGTGGAGAGAAAAAGGAAGGAAAGGAAAAAAGGAGGAGAAAAGAGAAAAACAAAGCAACGTCAATACAAAAGCCCTCCATTCCCCTCCTCCTGCTGCTGCTCTCTTCCATCTCTCTTCTCCTCCTTCCCTGTTCCTCCCCACTCTACTTTCCCCTCCCTTCTGCTCCCCTTGTAGGACAATCTTGGCCTGGGGGAAATACTGGGTATGTCTGCTGTAAAAATACATTAATTTAGGTTGAAAGCTACTCCTTCTCATCATCTCCACATCCTAAGGATGAGGAACAGGGTCTGTTTTGTATCAAGATTATCAACAAATGACAGTAATTTAGTATTTGATCACTGAATGATGTATTTGAAGGAAAATACATCATTAATTTGAAAATGCTACCTTGTAATTGACAGAAACTACATAGACAATACATAGTTTCCAGAAGCTTTTTAAGAATGATTCACAGTGTGGGACTGGCACTGTGGCATAGCAGGTTAAGTTACAATGTCAGTATCCCATTATCAGAGTGCCTGGTGAGTCCCAGTTGCTCTGCTTCTGATCCAGCTCCTTGCTAATGTGCTTATGAAAACACTGAAAGATGGCCAGGATATTTTGGCCCTGTTCCCTATGTGGGAGACCTGGACAGAGTTCTAGGCTCCTGGATTTGGTTTGGCCTAGGTCTGGGCCCAGGGCCAAGCCATTGCAGCAATTTGGGGAGTGAACCAGTTGATGGAAGATATTTCTCTCTCTATTTCTCTCTCTCGCTCACTCGCTCTCTTCCCCCTCCCCACCGCTTCCCTCCCTCTTGTCCTTCACTCCACTCCCCCGCCCCGTAGCCCTGATTTTCTCATGGAAACAAATTCTCAGGAGCACCAAAACATAAACTTTCATATGTGGTTAGAAAGAATATGGATAAAGTCAGGAAAATAGGGTATTTAAGCTATGCAGATCTCAATTCCTCATTTATAAAGGGGAATTTGAGCTGGAAAGCTTGGGAAAAGAACTCACATTTATCAAGCATCTATTTTGTTCTAGGACAGCCCTCTGTGCTTGGGAAATAGACTTGGCTACACTGATTTTATGAAGGAGAGAACTAAGAATAGACGTGTTCAACAAATTATTAAGGTCACTTATTTAACAGTACTCGAGATTAGACTGGATATGTAATTGCTCTGGCTTTCTACAGCACCATAAAAATATTTACAAACCATAAAGAAATTACAAACTGTAAAGAAATTACAAGCTTTACAAATTGTAAAGTAACTAGCTAGAAATGAGTCAACTACTTTTCTCTTTGTCCATCCCTAGAAAAGAATCAGAAACAACCACATAAACTTCTGTGGCAGGAGAAACCCATTTATTAAGAAGGTGGATTTTGCAGAGCCCTTATAATTTCTCTGTTTAAGAAACAGGACTCTCACTATACATACTTGAAATGTACACAGTCCTTCTCAGGAAGATAATATTAATTCCGCTGACTAAGAGCAAACCCAAACCGCCAGCCAATATTAGAAGCATTGTATACTGTCTTTCTCTTCCTTGATTTAGTCATGGGGACAACTAGAAATCCCCAGGTGCTAGGTCTGTCAGTAAATTTCTCATTTTGTAACATCCAGGAAGGACTTCTGAAGTTATATACAACATAAGATACCACAACACTCCTTTTCCTTGTGCAAGAATTAAACTATGATAGAAAAACAAAGTCACTAGTCATATTTGATCATGGATCTTGTCATACCTTTAGGAATTGCAGGATTATGTGAATGTGCCACACCCAGAGACAAGTAAGGAGGGCTAGTAGAATGAAGGACATTAAAATTACATATTGGATTGAGAGAGTAAGTTAGAATAGATTTTAGCTGATGATTTGTTCAGTCTCAAGTAATTTCATGTATGAGAAACAGTTTCAGAAGAAAAAAAGAATAAACAGAGTGAAAATAGTATTTAGAGGTTAGCATGAGGAAACTAAAGATGTATCTCTAGGAGACATCTGTTAGATTACTTTTCCCCAATGTTAGTCTTGATTTTTGCTAGTGATAGGGCCAAGGATCAACTAGTGAAGGTAGCAATGGTAAACAGCAGCTGTCATTGAGGTTCTTGTGTAAGTTAGACAAGGTATATACTTGGCAATGCTATCATACAATCTAATTTCTCTACGGAATGGCCAAATGTAAAATGGGCATGACAACCACAATTGGACAAATATTGTAGTGAGATCTTAGTCTATGGTCTATGCACAAACTAAACTTCTATGTCTTGCTCCTGGAAAGTTCAAAGATCTTGAATGGTCATAAAGCAAGAAGTAACCAGTGATGTTTTTCACAATACTTAAGTTTATCTATGCGAGGATCATTTTATATGCTTTCACTTACTACTATCATGCACTTATTTAATAAATATTGTGAGGCTATTGGGACAAATCACAGATTGTTTAAAATATTAAAATTTAGATTTCAAACATTCATAGTAATTTGGCTTGCTTTTTAGTATTGCCACAGAATTAGTATAAAATTCACAGATTCAAAAGAAGATACTACTTGAGAAAGTGAAGAGAGGCCACTTAAGTTTAATACTTTCTTAAAAATTAGATTTTGTGCTTTTCCATATTGTTAAAAAATTACAAGCAAACTTATGTATGTGAGGCTACTCTAGGTTTTTCCATGCTTATATGTCTCTCTGTTAAAAAGATATATCAGTATATAATAATAGAAAATATATTAATCAAATTGATCTTTTATATTTATAAGGAGAGAGAGAGCAAAAGATATAGAAAAACCTAGATTGGATAGATATGCTAATAATATATGGATCCATACAATATAAACAAATACATTTTAAGTCAAGTATATTTAATATATTAATCAAATCACAGTTTGTTGATTAGTCTTTTTCTCTATTTTCCTAAGAATGAAATATTTTTATGAAATAGCTACTTTTAACACCAGAAACAGTGAGTCCTCTTTTTTTTTAAATTTATTTATTATTTGAAAGGCAGAGAGAGAGGGGTCTTCTATCCCCTGGTTCATTCCTCAAATGGCCACAACGGCCAGAGCTGGGCCAATTCAAAGCCAGGAGGCAGGAATGTCTTCTGAGACTTCCACATGGATACAGGGGCCCAAGTACTTGGGCCATCCTCTATTGCTTTCCCAGGCCATAACAGAGAGCTAGATCGGAAGTGAAGTAGCCGGGACTTGAACCGGTGCCTATATGGGATGCCAGCACTGCTGGCAATGGCTTTACCTGCTATGCCACAGCACTGGCACCAACAATGAGGCTTCCTTAGTTTGGAGCACCCTTGTGCTCCTTACTATGTGCTAGGCCCAGTCCTGGGGACTCAGATGAGCATCATAAGCATTGTCCCTGCCCTCCTGGAGCTTACAGAGAATTGGAATGGATAGACACTAAGCAAATGCCCACATTTGTGTTAGCCCTGTAAACCTTACGGTCCCGTTGGTGAGAAATGTTATGAAGGAAAAGTCGAGTGCCAGGAGAAGGTATAAAAGGAAGCTTAATCTGGCAGAGGGAAGGGTCAGAGAGCTTGCCTGAAGGAACTGGGAGTTAGCCAGAAGAAAGAGAGAGGCAGTTGTTATAGGACAAAGAGATTGCATTTGCACAAACCCTTATTGAATCGACAATAGCCAAGAAGGATAATAGAACAGACAAGAATTATGGCTTAATCAGCACCTACCATTAGCTATGTTACTGATTTTAGGATACTATGACAAACTCAGGGTTAGAGTAGCTTGCATTATGAAGCCATTTGGTACCACACATTGAGGATACAGAAATGAATGAAATATGACTGGTGCGCTAGGAGAGCTCTCAGTAGAGTAGGGTGAAGAAACCTATAAACAAAGAATGCACTATGTTATAATTCTGATAACTAAAAGATTTTATAGGAGCATCAAAATGGAAGCCTTGAGCTCTGTTGGGAGTACCAGGGAAAACTTGATGAAAGAGCTGTTATTTGAGCAGCATTCTGAGTTATGAATAAATTTACTTCCAGTTAGAGGCCCCGGCAAGTTCAAAGGCATGAACTCAAGATAGAAAATGCTGGGTTAGGGAACTGAACACCTGACTGCAAAAGCATGAGGGAGATCTAGAGCCAGAAGTGGGATAGGCCAGAGCCACATTTGCCATGCTTAGCCACTTTTTTTTTTTTTTCCATATCTAGGAAATGGGAAGCTAGCTAAGGATTTATTTGTGTTTTCTAAGGCCCCCACAGTGAAGCAATAACTGCAGGGAAGTGAGTGGAGAAAAGGTTGAACTAGTGTGATGGTATTGAGAAATGAGGGTCCTTTCTCCAGACGAAAGGACTGGTTAACTTTTCAAATAATGTAGAATTGAACATGAATTTCTTGCCACCATACAATAAAGAAGAAACAACATGAGTAAAATTTTAGAAATTTTATTTTTTCTCAAGAACAAAATAGTATTGTAAACCAATGAGACACACAGTACATCAGTACAATTTTAATATACCAAATGATGCATATTTAACAAAATGATCAAAACCTTTGAAAGATACACACTATAGGCATCCAAAAACCTTAACAGGTTTGTGTGTTTTAGAATACTAAATGATGAATTTACATTCCAACAGTTTGAATGAATATGTTCTCAAAACTTTCAGGGTAATTGATAACTGTTGAGCTTTTCTTTAAAAAAACTAAAAGAATGGTTTTTTATCAAAACTAGAGTGTGGAAATTTACTTGTTTCTTATCTTCTGCAGCTATCAAAAGGTGTATATTTAGTGACCATAATTATAGCACTGCTAATAAAATAGTTAATAAATAGCACATAAAATCAGTTTAATGAGTAAATCATGACATTATGCCATACTAAGAAGACATCAATTGTCTAAAATTATAGGAAGAGAATATATTAACCTTATAGGACTTAAATACTTAGAAATTCTAAATAAGGAAATATATTCTACTCAGATAACTGTATGACACACTCAGCTTTCTAATGCAATACAGCATCTCAGGGTCAAGAGGGGAAGTTTGCTAACATATTCCCCAAGAAACAACACAAAAGTATTTCCTATTTCATGAGGAAAGTGAAGATAACAGTGTGTCTTCCTCATTGGTATCCTAGTGAAACATCATTTTCCTAGCAAATCCACAGCCTTTTCAGAGACACAATAAGAAATAGTTAGAAATACCACACAGTGGGCTCCATTCGAGACATTTTGGAAGATTAGCAACCAGTGATTATTGGCTCACAATATAGTCGATTGCAAGCAATTCCAATAACATAGCAGATAAAAGCAGCAAATGGCAGGACATGTAAGCTAAATACTTCATAAGACGAGCAGAACGCTTCAGGGACAGATGAGGGGAGTCCAGGAGGAAAGCCGCCCAGGCACTCCTTACTGTCTTCTGAGTCCAGCGCTCCCTAGAAAACTCTCTGCTGAAAACTGGGTAGTTTTTCCAATGCTTGGTTCTCTCTCGTAATCAGTTTTCCTTGTTTCCACTGTGGAAAACAAAAAATTACATCAGTTTAGCCAAATTTCCACACTGCTACCTTCTCCACCGTGGTTTCAAAGCACAGCATTTAAAGCAGTGAAAACAGAAATAAAGATCAATAAAAGCAAACAGTAGACTAACATGTGTAGACTATCTCAGTAATCAGATAAGATTGGTGATAAAGGGTTTCCCAGAAGATTCCAGATCACAACTTTTCATTCTGAGCCTCCTATGGAATGTGGCACTCAAATCCTATAGAAATCTAAGCTCTCAGGAGATAAGATCTAAAACCCACAAAGATCAAAGTGACAAGTACCTCTCTAAAATTTTCTGGATGGCTTTCTTGATCAAAGGGGCTTCTGGGTCCAGGCAGATTTCCTTACCGTTCTTCAGAGAAGCTCTGCAGAGAATTAAAAAAAAAAAAAATGCATCCTGCGACCCTGAGTTTTGGGGGCCAAAGACCAGGGTGTAGGGCGTCCCTGTGACCAAGGTGACATCGGATCAGAACTTACACCACTTCCACCTTGGAGCACTGGGGACCCGCGGCGATCACCTGCAGACGAGCGATCATTTTGGGGTGAATGGCCGTGGTGGATAAACACACGCAACGCAATTCTCTCACCACCGCCGCGACGGGGCCCGCTGCGGAAGAAAGAGAACGTGTTAGAGCTCCTGTTGCTCGGGAGAGTTGATCCCCGTGTCCTGGTCGCCGCGCCTCCCGGGTGCGCCCCGCGTGCCGCGCGCTCTCACCGCTGGCGAGGGGCGCAGGTGGCGTCAGCAGCAGCAGCGCGAGCAGCGCGCACAGGCAGCTAGAGGGGCCAGAGAGGCGGGAGGCGCGGCTGGACAGGAGGCTCATCGTTGCAACGGGAGCGCGGCGCGACGAGGGGCGCGAGTTCCAGAGGCGAGAGGAAGCGCGGAGAGGTTCGAAGCTCGAGAGCACCGTGGCTTCCTGCAGCGCTCTGCACTCCTTTTATCCGCTCTCGCCCCTCCCCTCCCCAGGCAGGAAACTCAAGCTTTCGGATGCACGGGAAATTCCCAGGACTTTGGAGGGGTAGGGGCACGGGGATGGATGAGGGAGGGGCTGTGGGAATTGGGGAGAAGGGCGGAGGGGAGGAGCTGCTGTGCCCGCCCCTCAGGGATCTCCTCAGCCCCGCCCCTAGGTAGAGGGAGCTGTGGCTCCCGCCAAAAGTGAGGACCGATCCTTCAGGTGCCTTCTCCCAGGTGCGCACCAGGACCGGCGAAAGCCGGAGGGTCAGGGGTGAGGGGAGGGGGCCATGGGGGAGGTGTCTCAAAAGGCTGGAACGGAACAGGGAGCAGAAGATGTGACTTTAGGAAAACGCCTGCACCTCCTTAACACCTTCTGCCTGTGATTGCTGTTTAGGAAATGCAATCCGAGATTAGGACTGCGCCAAACTGAAACGGCTGCTCTACTCCCGCTGGAAGCCAGTGGCAGGAGCGGGCTCCAAAACCCAGTTTGCTTACTGGAAATCCTACGCTGGTGCTTTAGCGAGCAAATGTGTGTCGAAGTGGTTTCGCAAACACAAGGCTTCCCTTGGAAAATGATTCCTCGGTTTTGGGCAGTTCCCTTGCTACTGACTTGGAAGAGGTTTGGGGTGAGTCGGGCTGGGTTGAGTGCCCTAGCTGGCACCAGCTCCGGCCCCTAGGTCAGGTGCGCGTTTCACACGGGACGCTGCGGAGTTTGAGGGGACCCATCAGGAAGTTGTGTGTAGAGGATTGAAAACTGACAGCCAGGCGCTACCCACTCTGCCTCTCCCCAGACAGCCTCAAGGTGGAGGGGCCAGGAGGTGTAGTCTCTAGATTGTAGTCTCTAGTGAGCCCAGAGCTGGCTCCTTGCAGGGGCTCCCAACATCCTCTCGCTCCTTTCTGTTTTCTGTGGAGGTGGCTAGGCCAGTTAGGTTTAGCAGCCCAGTGTTTCAAGTGTCTGTCTCTGTGCAGGAATGGCTAGGATACAATGACTTTTCGAAGTGCACTAGATCCTCTTCTGTTTTGTTTTGAAGACCCTTGTCCTAGCCATTGTAGGCCAGCAAAGCTAACCAGTAAACACCACGGCAACCAGAATCCAGCCAGGAATGGGAACTCTTGTCCTTGGTGTCCCAGGAAATTTCCTGAACTTCCCCACCCATCTTCCTGGGAAAGACATCGCATCCACTGGTGAGCCAGAAAGAGGTGTCATAGACTTTAATAACTTTTATCCTGGAAGGAAACTTGAGAAATTCTCTGACTGAGGCAGACTGGGGGAGGGGGAGGGGTTGACTGTCACTTTCTGGGAAGCTGAATAGGAAGTTCTCTGGCCTGTAGTTTCCTGATGCCATTAGCATCATGCCTGACTCAGTGAATGCAACTCTTCACCCTTTTGGGGAGCAGTGCACAGTGAAACACAGCTTGCAGGTTGACCCCGTTGACTGTAGAGACTAGAACGTATCTAAAGACAAAAGACAAACCTGGCTAAAGTGGGCTAAGACAAAACTTCAAGAATGTGACTAAAGATGTTGAGCAATTACATTCATTTTAACCACAGAGAATCAACCATACAGCGTAATGAGTCTTTGTGAAAGAAAAATGTTTTGAGGACATAGGTTTTTGACTTTTAAAATGTGCATGTGTGTAGTGATGGTGGTGGTATATGCAGGGGATGGGGAGAGGTAGATTAGTTCCAAATGAGCCATTTTAAATATACTTGAGCATACGAATTAGTATTTGGCACCAAACATTAAGTAAGAACAGTGAAGGGTCATGCGATGAGCTCACCAGATGCATGGATCAGGTGTGCATGCCTCACCTGGTTTGCACTCTGAATCAACTCCCTGTGATTGTTTGGAGACTATAAAGGGAAAAAATTTCTCAAATTGACAAGCAGGTACTAGAAAGGACCTTACCCAATCTAATCAAGGAACTTAGCTGGGCTTTCTAATTGAAAGCATCCTGACCCACTGTTCATGTCTGCTTCCTGTCTCCGCATCTCTGATGCTGGCCTTGTAGAAAGTACAGGCAGGAGTGTGAATGGCTCCAATACCTGCTGAGGTTGAGAGTGATGGCACCAAGAACCTGTGGAGACAGAGCACTTTAAAAACAATTGCTTATTTTTCTCTCATTTGCAGGGAAGCCATTTGTCTTACTCATACTGTGTGCAGGTAGTAGAGAGAGACGGTTAATTTTGTTTCCAGCTGCAATAAAACAGTCCACAAATGACACTGGTATCCTGACAGCCTACAGATTGACTATCAGAAACAATGGGATTCTAGTCATTATACCACAGAGTAATCTAATATGGATGAAATAATTTCAAATGGTTTTCAGCTTCCAAAGTGCTTTCACACTCACTATTTCTGGAGCCTCACATAGATTCTTTGAGGCAGATGGGAGAAATTATCCTTGTAATTTTTCAGTTAGAAAATGTAAGGTCTGAGAAATAGTTAAGAAGTAGAAAATCCAGGGTGGGAACCCAAGCACAGAAGAATCTGCCACAAATATGCAATGGCTTCCAGATTACAAACCGCTGTCTTCACAGCACTGGCCAGTACTCCCCAGCAGCTCCCCACAGGCTGGTTAACCACTTTACCGTGTTACCCAACAACCATCCTTTAAGCTAATGAAATCTTCAGTCCACTCATTCCTCTCTTTGAGACCGCAATGATATCAAAGTCCCAAAGGACTTCCAGATTACCCAATCGGATGCTGACCTGTACTTTCCAAATCCATCATTCTCTGCACAACAAACTCCAACTCCTGTCTTCTCCAAAAAAGGCTTTTTCTGACAAAACCATTCGCAACTTGTTCCTTTCACTTTTGGTCTTTGGACTTTGAATGTACCTATAATAGCTACAGCATAACACAGAGTGTAATTATTCCTGAATTTTATTTTTGTTTCCCGCAAGCCAGTATAAACTTTTATAATCAGCAGTGATGAGACTTTAAAAAGTTGATGGAAATAATGAAAAATAAATTTACTTTGGTGCAAAAAAATTTGAAATCCATCTTCAAAAGTTCATGGAAAACACATATTATGGAAAACTATGCATGACTTTAAAATTTTGCACCAAAATAATCTTTAATTCCATTTTTATACAAACTTTTCATAGTCTCCTCTTATTTCTCTCATAATCTCCAATAAGTTCTAAGTTTGGTGATGAGCTGCCTATGACCACCTGCTAATATATCATAATAATAATTTTTTATTTTACAGTGTTATCTATCTTATAAGTAGATTTTAAGGGGAAAACTGTAGGGCCATGTACTGTTACTAACTTCTCAATATTTTGGGCTCCACTATTTTGAGACTTTTCTGATATGATGGCAATGTCTCTTGGTTCTTCTCAGAGAAGTTCAAATGATAATTTCAGTCTGTGGAATCAAAAGAATGCTCCCAACAGAGAGGGACATTTGATATTTAAAGGAAGGAAATTATACAACTAAAGCATTGACCAAACAGCATGATTTCTGTGACTTAGACATAAGTTGGAGATAAATGACAAGAAAAAAAAATCTGATTAAGTTAATGCTGTACTGAATGCTAACAGTGTGAGAATGTCATTCTAAATTGGTCTTTCCTAACAAAACAGGACAGCTTTCATTGTGTGATTTACTGGATGGCATAGTCCTGGCCAAATGTTTTCTAATTCTCCATTTCTTTTTTCTTTTTTTTCTTCTTCTTTCTTTTCTTTTCTTTTTTTTTTCTTTTTCTTTTTTTTTTTTTTTCTTGACAGGCAGAGTTAGATAGTGAGAGAGAGAAACAGAGAGAAAGGACTTCCTTCCATTGGCTCACCCTCCAAATGGCCGCTATGGCCAGTGTACTGCGCTGATCCAAAGCCAGAAGCCAGGCGCTTCCTCCTGGTCTCCCATGCAGGTGCAGGGCCCAAGACCTTGGGACATCCTCCACTGCCTTCCCAGGCCACAGCAGAGAGCTGGACTGGAAGAGGAGCAACCAGGACAGAATCCGGTGCCCCAACCGGGACTAGAACCCAGAGTACTGGTGCTGCAAGAGGAGGATTAGCCTAGTGAGCCACGGCGCCGGCCTCTCCATTTTTTTTTTTTATATCTACTACTCTTTCTGTGACCTCAGAGAAATGCTGTACAGTTGAGATCATTCAGTATGTACACATATCTACACATATCATTACCAGGGCAAGCAGAGCAAGGATATCAATACGAGGAACACAGCAAGAGTTTAAGTGGAGGTGAAGTCACTTGCGTGTATGCACAAGAAAAGGAAAGGACCAGTAATCTCATCCGATTTTGCAGAGTCAGTGCAGTTTGGCTGTCTCCTCCCCCATGGGGCCTGGCCACCTAATGAAGACGCAGCATAACTCAGGAAATGACTTTGCTTCATTGCTTCAGCTTTGCTGTGAAATGTCAGGGTTACTGCCCCTCCTTTAGCCCATTATCCAATTTTCCTTGCTGGACATTTCAAGTTAAATCTGCTTGAGAAAAGTGTCTATCAGTGAGCCTTTATTGAGTCTATACTGAGCTAGTTTCCAAATAAGTGCGGCGGAGCCTTTTCTTATCACCTTCTGGATGGATGGGCAGCGAATTTTCTTTTGTTCAGTTGTGCAAGTGTACAAAGGCTTTCTTTTTTTAAATTTTTTTAATTTTTGACAGGCAGAGTGGACAGTGAGGGAAAGAGACAGAGAGAAAGGTCTTCCTTTGCCGTTGGTTCACCCTCCAATGACCGCCGTGGCCGGCGCGCTGTGGCCAGCGCGCTGTGGCCAGCGCACCGTGCTGATCCGATGGCAGGAGCCAGGTGCTTCTCCTGGTCTCCCATGGGGTGCAGGGCCCAAGCACTTGGACCATCCTCCACTGCACTCCTGGCCACAGCAGAGAGCTGGCCTGGAAGAGGGGCAACCGGGACAGAATCCGGTGCCCCGACCGGGACTAGAACCTGGTGTGCCGGCGCCGCTAGGCGGAGGATTAGCCTAGTGAGCCGCGGCGCTGGCACAAAGGCTTTCTTAACAACAGATGACATATAGGAAACAAAAAAGATGAGGATTAAACATATACATGTTTCAGAAAGCTTTGAACTTTTCAAAAATTAGGAACCATTCAGAAATTTGACTTGGGTTAAGAAAAAAACCAGGAAAGGAAGAAAAAAAGAACCCTCCCCAAAGGAGTTTTAGGACTAACTAACTGCTTTTAATACCTTTGAGAAGACAGTTTTATGATACTGCTAAGATTATTATAGAAGTTAGACTTCTAATACTGCTCTTAATAATTGTTGTTTGAATACTAGCATTGTTGTACAGTGGGTTAAGATACCACCTGTGGTGCCAGTATCCATGTGGATGCTTGTTCAGTCTCAGATGATCCTCTTCCAATCCAGTTCCCTGCTGATGTGCCTGGGAAGTCAGGGAAGATGCCCCAAGTGGTTGGGCTTCTGCCACCCACATGGGAGACATGGATGGAATTTCAGGCTCCTAGCTACAACCTGGCCTAGCCCTGGCTGTTGCAACCATTTGGGGAGTGAACCAATGGATTGAAGACTTCTCTTTCTGTCCCTCTCTTCTATAACTCTGCCTTTCCAAAGGTAAATAAATCTTAAAAAAAAAAAAAAAACCAAGATAATGGCTGTTTGCTATGATGTTTCAGAACACTACCACTTTCATACCTTGTATTTTTTTTTTTTTTTTAGAGAAGGAAAGAGAGAGAGAGAGAGAGAGATCTTCCATCTGCTGGTTTATTCCCCAAATAGCTGCAAGGACCAGGGCTGGACCAGGCTAAAGTCAAGGGCCCAGAGCGTCATCTGGGTCTCTTACATTGGTGCAGGGACCCAAGCACTGGGGCCATCCCCTACTGCTTTACCAGATGCAATAGCAGGGAGCTGGATGGCAATGGAGCAGCCAGGACTTGAACCAGCACCCCTATGCAATGCTGCCTCTGCAGGCTGTGCTTTAACTAAATGTGCCATATTGCTGGCCCCAGTATTTTTTTTTTTTTTTGCAGACTATTCATTTCTGCATAATCTCACATTATATTTCATTCTTGTTTAATATATGGTAAAACTTTACCACTGCTACCTTAGTAGGAATAAATGCAAATGTTTTTGTATGTATGTGACTTATGTGATTCTTAGACAATGAAACCTGTGATTTGCCTCATTGATCATTGTTTGATGATGTAGCAAAAACCTAATATTTCATAGGCATCCAAGACAGTTTTCATGAAGTTAAAGGCCAGACACACACACTCCACTGCCATCACCATCACCATCACCATCACCATCAATAAAACAAAAATCAAAAGAGAGAAATACAAAGTCATGTCTTATTGTTGATTCCTTGCCACCAGTGTTTTGTTAAATCTGATTATGAATTCCCAGTGAATAACTGCTTTCATGCACATTTAAAGTATTATTTTTATAAGAACTGGGAATTAGGAAATTGCTGTCACTGACATAAAGGGGTTGCAACACCAAACCAAAGGTCACAAAATCCTAGAAATTCTGGCTAATGCTGGGCTCTGAGTTCTTTGCTGACCAGCTGGAATGTGAAAGCATGGCACTCTCTGGAGAGTTGAAGTAATCAAATTGATTTACCAAAATGTTTTGCTTTGAATCATTTTGGTTTCCAAAAAATTTAGTATTAGTAAATCAGACTGGAGGCCATTTACTTTGGAACAGAATGTTCTTTGGGAATAGTTTTTTTTTTATTTTTTTCCTAAATTTCCTAAATTTGAGACCAGACTGATGAATGCTATGGCTGGGATTTTGTCATAGAAAAGAAAAATATGGTAGTGGATAATGTATCAGAAGTAGACCATAAGTTAGCACCTGTCACAATGTGGAAATATACAAGGTATTTCTTTGTAGTAAGGGAAAGTTGTGGTTATGTACAAGTTAGTTTTGGTAATAAATGAAAATCATGAAAGCCTTGTATCAAAGTATATGTGGTCAGCTTTCCATGATTGGAAATAAAAGCATAAATTAAGGCAATCATAAACTTCTTTTTAACTTTCTATTTCAGAATAATTTTAAATTTACAAAATGAAAAAAATGTGAAGTAGTACAGGGAGTTCCCATATAACCCACATGCAGCTCACCCTATTGTTGACATCTTAATCAGTATGATGTATCTGTCAGAATCCACAACACACCCAACTTCCCCTATTTTTTTAATCAAAACTCCTTCTCTCCCTCCCACGCCTCCTAGCATCTATTAATTAAAATTCTGTGTTTGGATTGAGGCATGTTTTTGCTTTAGCTCCCATGTATGAGGGTAAACATGTGGTATTTGTCTTCCTGTATCTAGCTTATTTCACTAAAGATGAATTATTTTTCCTGGCTGGATCCTAGCTATTCTTTTGCCATGAGCTTCTGTATGACCTTAACCAATGTGTCACTTCTTTAAATGTAAAATTCTAATCACAGTTTTCTTCCCCATAGAATTATTGACATGAACAAACAGGATGCCTGTGACACATTTTGTTTTTATATTTTTTTATTTTTAAAGAGTTTATTTATTTATTTGAAAGGCAGAGTTAGAGAGAGAGAGAGAGAGAGAGAGAGAGAGAGAGAGATTGGTCTTCCATCTGCTGGTTCACTCTCCAGATAGCCACAATGGCCAGAACTGAGCTGATCCGAAGCCAGGAGCTTCTTCTGGGTCTCCCACATGGGTGCAGGGGCCCAAGGACTTGGACCATCCTCTACTGCTTTTCCAGGCCATAGCAGAGAGCTGGATGAGAAGAGGAACAGCTGGGATACGAACTGGTGCCCATATGGGATGCTGGCACCCCTGGCAGAGGCTTAATCTATAATGCCACAGCATTGGCCCTGGCAACTTTTAAATACAGGATTTTGTATTTTATGTTTTAGGTTGAGGTAAAATTTATGTAGTGAAAAGCATACATCTTAAGTACACAGTTCAGTAAGATTTGAAAAATGTGAACAATTAATTAAGACACAACTTTTTCATCTCTCCAGAAAATCTGAGCTCTTTTTGAGTGAATATTCCTTCTGCACAAGAAACCGCCATTTTTATTTTTAGTTTTGCCTGTTGTTGAACTTCGTATAATAGAGTCATCCAAGATATCTTCTTGGTACCTGGCTTTTTTCTTGTGATTTTAAATTAATTAATTAATTAATTAATTTTAATTTTATTTGAAATAGAGAGCAAGAGAGAGAGATTTCACATTTGCTAATTCACTCCCCAAATGCCCACAACAGCCAAGACCAGGCCAGGCCAAAACCAAAATACTAGAGTCCAACCCAGAACTCCCACATGGGTGGCAGAGACCCACGTATTCCAGTCATCATCTCCATGTCTCAGAGTGTGCTTTAGCAAGAAACTGGATCAGAGTAGAGTAGCTGGGGGCCAGTGCTGTGGAAGAACAGGCTAAGCCTCCTCTTACGGCACCTGTATCCCATATGGACACCAATTTGTGTCCTGGAGGCCGCTCTTCAATCCAGCTCTCTGTTAATGGCCTGGGAAGGCAGTGGAAGATGGTCCAAGTGCTTGGGCCCCACACATGTAAGAGACCCAGATGAAGCTCCTGGCTCCTGGATTCAGATTGGCCCACCTCTGGCCAGTATGATCATATGGGGAGTGAACCAGCAGATGGAAGACCTTTGTCTCTGTCTCTCTCTCCATTTGTAACTCTGCCTTTCAAGTAAGTAAATACATCTCTAAAAATATTTTTTTTAAAAGAAGAAGAGTAGCTGGAACCAGAAATCCAGACATGGAATAAGGGCATTTCATGTGGTATCTCAATCACTGGGTCAACGCTCACCCCAGTGCCTGGTTTCTTTTACTCAATTCCTGTGATTCATCAATGGTGAGTATTGTGAATATTAGTACTATAGTTCTCTATGGAATTGAATATCCATTTAATAAATTAAATGAAGTATCTGATTACACAAATATATGAGATTTTGTTTTACAGTTGTCTGGGAGTGGATATTTGGGTCATTTCCAGTCTTGGGTTAGCAAGTTGGCTGTTGTGAATGATGTAGCTATAAACATTATGTAAGTCCTTTTGTAAAGGTGGGCAAAAACATGGCTCAAAAATTATTGTTCTTCCCAATTAGATGTGGCACATATTTTTCCCATCCTTGAATCTGACTGACTCTGTGACTAGTTTGGTCAACATGGCTTGGCAGGAGTGATACTATGTAACTCACAAGAGTAGATTTGCAGCTTCCAACTTTGTCTTTGGCATGGTTGCTTTTTTTTAAATTTTATTTATTTATTTTTTTGACAGGCAGAGTGGACAGTGAGAGAGAGAGAGACAGAGAGAAAGGTCTTCCTTTGCCATTGGTTCACCCTCCAATGGCCGCCACGGCCGGCGCGCTGCGGCCAGCACACCTCGCTGATCCAAAGCCAGGAGCCAGGTGCTTCTCCTGGTCTCCCATGTGGGTGCAGGGCCCAAGCACTTGAGCCATCCTCCACTGCACTCCCGGGCCATAGCAGAGAGCTGGCCTGGAATGGTTGCTTTTGACCTCCAAGCAATGTACTGTGTTCTGTGCAGAATCCATCTGAAAGAGAACCAAGGCACTCCAGCTGATAGCTCTACCTAAGCTCCCCTTTGAAAGCCAGCACCAAACAACCAAGCAACCATGTAAGTCATCTTCTTAAACATTCCAGCCCCTCCAAGCTTCAAATGACTGCAACTCCACCTCACTGGGCAAAAGAATCACCCAGATAAATCTAGTTCCCGGTCAAATCAAATAATATTGAGGTGATAATTATTCCTCCAATAAACTAAGTTTAGGAAAAGTTTTTGCACAGGAATAAACAAAATAGATATTTTCAAATTCTTGAGTAAATACATAGGAGTAGAACTGGTAGAAATAGAACAGGTCTATAGTAAGTAGCTGTATAGTAAAGTAGCTTAGTAAATTCACACTCTCACCATCTGTGGGGAGCAACTGAGACTAGACTAAGTTACTGGAATTAAGACTTATTCTATGCATCTGCTCTCCCACAGTATGGCGCTGAGAGAGACCAAACAACCTCTATGCAGCTGCCTCATCAGTTTGACACGCTGCAGGAGCTGATCTTGCTCCTGATTGGAGGAGAGCAGCGTGCTCGGCGTGTGGGTAGCAGAGTTGGGATTGGTGGAAGAGGACTATAAAGGAGGAGAGAGACAACATGCACCAGGAACATCTGAAGGAACATCTGAGCAGCCCCCGAGAGAGCCGGCCAGCGGTGTGCTGCTCCTCCACAGAAGCGGGGAAAGCGGCTGGGGGAGCCGCCACTCCATGGAGGTGGAGGGGTTGGCAGCCAACCCGGGAAGGACCAGCGGCAAACCCGGGAAGGGCCGAACCCGGGAAGGGCCAAGCAGACGAAAGAACAGCGCAGGGTCCGGTGTCGTTCCTCTGCGAATGGGGGAGCGACAACCATCAAAAAGTGTTGTGATTAATGTATATTCTCCTCGTCACTCTTTAACATTTTTTGACACTTAATTATCATTTAATGATGACTAATGGTGTACAGCATCTTTCTGTGTGCTCATTTGTCACTTGTAAATCTTTCATGAAGTGTATTTTCAAATCTCATCTTTTGCTTTAAGTTGGTTTAAGGCACTTTTTAATATTGATTTCTTGAGTTTTATCATACATTGTAGTTACAGATCCTTCCTTTGATAGATAAATGTATTATGACTGTCCAAGTCTATAGTTTGAGTTCTCATTGTTTTAAATGTCTTTTTGAGGAGCTAAGTTTTTTAAATTGAATGCCTAATTTATTGTATTCCTTATATCTAGTTAATTATATTTTTCTGTATCATCTCTTGGAAATCATTGTCTACTCCAAGGATGAAATATACCTTCCTATATTTTCTTTTTGAAGCACTGTACTTTTAACTTTTATGTTTATGCATATAGACCATATAGAATTATTTTTTATGAATAGCTTAAATTATTTGTTGAGTTTCATTGCTTCACTTTTGTATCCATATGGATATCCAGTTATTCTAGAAAGATATTTTGAAATTTTTCCCACTGAATTTCCTAGGAACCATTATCAAAATTAAATTGATAGCATATGTGTGTCTATTTCTGGACTTTTAGTCCAGTCTCTCCTTACACCAAATATCCTCATTAATGTGGTTTAAAATAATGAAATCCCAACTTTTGCAACAAAATGATTACAACTGAAGATCATTATGCTTAGTGAAATAAGATAGATCCAAAAGACAAAATTCACATTTTCTGATTTGTGATGGTTAATACATATAGAGAGAATATAAAAAGATTGCTGTTGATGAAACTGACATCTTTGAATTTGATTATTGCTTATAGCCCTTGTCCATATTTCTGCTGAACAGCAGTCTTTACTTTGTACTTATTGAACTATTTACTTAATGGAAAATTAAGCCTTTTACTATAAAGTACATTCAAAACATATTATCTCAAAAATTTTTTTTACTTATTTGACAGGTAGAATGAGACAGTGAGAGAGAGAAACAGAGAGAAAGGTCTCCCTTCCGTTGGTTCACCCCCCAGATGGCCACTACGGTTGGCGCTGCATGCCGATCCGAACCCAGGAGCCAGGGGCTTCCTCCTAGTCTCCTATGTGGGTGCAGGCATCCAATCACCTGGGCCATCCTCCACTGCCTTCCTGGGCCACAACAGAGAGCTGGACTGAAAGAGGAGCAGCCGGGACTAGAACTCAATGCCCATATGGGATGCCAGCGCCACAGGTGGATGATTAGCCAAGTGAGCCACGGCGCTGGCCCAAAAATTTTTTAAAAAGAAAAGAGATAAAGGCAGAAGGAGGGAGAAGTGAAGGAGAGAAGTATCATTATATTCTTAGAATTGTATCCATAGACTACATTAAATCTGTTCTCCTTATATTAATAAAATAAAAATGTAAATATTTTAAAAATTGAATAATATGGTCACTAACATGCCAAATGTTGCTAAGGGTAGATTTTCAATGGTGGCAACAAGAAGAAAGTATATAACGTCTCAACAAAAAAGATGATACACAGTACCCATGTGCATAGGGATGAATGATTTACAAGGTTAAGGTTAGATACCAAATGAATTGTAGGAGTGATAGTGTTGGAAAGCATAAGTTGACTGCTGTTGTGGGTAAGTGGATGGAGAACCAATTAGTTAATATTTCAAAATATCCCGTTCCATATGCTTGTTCCCAGATTAAACTAGCTGATTCTAATAATTATTCAGCTTTAACTTCAGCATTTGCAACATATTCAACACAGCTTAATTGAACTTCTCTGTTGATAGGTGTTCTTACATTTGTTGTTAATGTCTTCTGCCACTTGGGGCCAACCAGTCCCTGAAACCTGGACTCATACTAGTCACGAGTCGTTTCCCTTCCTGTATTATTAAATTGTAAAATCATATTGTCAAAATAAAAGATAGTATTTCTGGGGAAAAGCAATTTTGGCTTATTTATATAAAACTCTTTTTTTCCTAGAAAAATGAATTTTTATCTTTCTATAAGGCCTTTCTCTAGTCTTCTCCCACCCTCCATTTTGGCTCAGATGTTTTTGTTGTTTGTATGAGACCTTATTTTAACTGAAGCATCCTCTTTGCTAACATCTGATGTATAGTACATTTGCAATTACCATCAGTAGTATTGACAACTACTTTTTCCAACAGTTTTTAGCTTGGCCCTGCTAAAGGCATAGGTAACAGAGGAAGTTGTCAGTTCACACTTGCTGAGTAATCCTAGAAGTATTCTCCAAGTTGTACATGTGATTGCTTTTCTCAGAACAAGAAAATCTGGGATGTTGTATCATGAGCTAATGCAAATTTTTAAAAATTCATAAACTATTCATTCATTACCTTGATAAAAGAAATTTTCTAGACCCTCAAATCTGATGACAGTATAAAAACTGAAGGAATTGTAAGATCAGCCATTGGCAAACCAAAATCTCTTAGCACATGTACTCCAAAATCTTATATAAAGTACTTCTTTCCTCTATGCCCATAGAGTTTGAGGAGTTGAAAATTCTGTATAATTGACAAACTGATGTCTTAATTCCTATGGAAATGTAAGAGACCTGGAGGAGCCAAAGTAATCTTGAAAAAGAATAACAATTTGAAGGGCTCACATCTCCAGATTTCAAAATCTACTACAAAGTACAATAATCAAGGCTAAGTATTGCTGGTCTAAGAGCAGACATATAGATCAATGCAGTAGAACTGGGAGTTTGTAAATCCACTCATACTTTTCTCATGAACTGATTTTTAACATGTGTGCCAAGATAATTAAGTGGGAGAAAGAATAATCTGTTTAATAAATTATGCTGGACAACTCAATAACCACATACAAAAGCATGAAGTTGGACTCCTATGTCACACCATACAAAGAAATAAACTCAAAATGAACCAAAGAGCCAAATATAAGTGCTAAACTAATAAAACTATTAGAAAAACCCATAAACATTGGTCATTGTGACTTAGATTAGACAATAAACATAAGCAACCAAAATTTGGACTTAATTAAAATTTAAAAAAAATTTTTGCTTCAAATGAGTTTATCAAGAAATTAAAAATATATACCACAGAAGGATGGCCCAAGTGTTTGGGCCCCTGCGCCCGCATGGGAGACCAGGAAGAAGCACCTGGCTCCTGGCTTTGGATCGGCACAGCGCTGGCTGTGGCGACCATTTGGGAAGTGAACCAACGGAAGGAAGACTTTTCTCTCTGTCTCTCTCTCTCACTGTCTACAACTCTACCTGACAAATAGATAAATAAGAAAAATTTTCAAAAGAAAAAACGAGAGCCATTGTGTCCATGGATTTTAAAATATATATATACCACAGAATAGGAGAAAATATTTGCAAATCATATAGCTGGAAAGTATCTAGTATCCAGGATATATAAGTAACTCCTAAAATATAAAAATAGACAAATAATTCAAAGTGGGAAATCTGTTAGAACATACATTTCTTCAAAGAAGATATATAAATGGTCAATAAATGCTCAACATCACTTTTGCTCAGGGAGATACAAATCAAAACCACAATGGATAACTAGAATAAAAAGTCAGAAAATATTAAGTATTTCAGCGATCTGTAGAAACTGGAATCCTGATACATTGCTGGTAAGAAGGTAAACAGTGTAGCAAATTCGGGAAACAGTTAACATATTTTTAAAATGTTAAACATACAGTTACTATATGATCCAATAATCTCACTCTTAAGCACATAACCAAGAGTTATATAGGAAAATATATCTACGAAAAGTTTGTCTGAATTCTAACAGCTGCATTATTTTTAATCATCAAAATGTAGAAACAACCTAACCATAATCCATTGATGAATGGATAAGCAAAATGTAATATATTTATCTTGTGTCAGCCCTAAGAAGTACCAGTTCATACTATAACATGGATGAACCTAGAAAATATGGTGCAAAATGAAAGACGTTAGATACAAAAAGCTATATACTGGATGATTCTATTTATATAAAATGTCCAGAAGAAACAAATCCATAAGACAGAAAAGTTAGTGATTTCCAGGGGCTTGGCCTGAGAGGAATGGGGAGTGACTCTTAATATGTGTGAGTTTCAGGAATGAAGAGACTGTTAGGGAATTAGATAATGGTGTTGCAAAACTGTGTGAATATATTAAAAACCACCAAATTAAATGCTTTAAAAGGGTGGATTCTAAGGCATGTGAACTGAATCTGAGAAAAAAAAATTCTTGGGCCCTGCCCTGTAACTACTTCTAAATCAAAATGAGATGGTGAGGTTTCAAATAATCTATATTTTAAGTTCTTTAGGAGATTCGTATGTACATTAATATTTGAGAATTGTTCCTTTAAACCATTTTTTAAAAGTCTATGTCTGATTGGTGTCCAGAATGTTCTTCTTGGCCTCTTTTTTCCCATCAAGGTTTCAGAATATATCTTTATAAGACTTCATGATAATGAATTTTTTCCTATGTATATATGGTAATTGGTACAATAATAATAAAGAATGCTGTAAGTGTTGAGCAAATTTTTAAAAAATCATAGAATGTTCAGATCACAGCACTTCATGTTCTCTGATTTCTTTTTTGATGAACCAATTCCAAGTAAAGCTTTTATTTTTTTTTTTCTTGGTCAGCAATTTCTTCTATTCTCTTCAGCACTAATTCGGAACTTCATTGGTCTGGTCTTCTAATCTCTTCAAATCTCTCTCTCTCTCTCTCTCTCTCTCATTCTCTTAAACTTCAATTCGTGTTGCCTTGCCTTCAGACTTTGCTGAATTTTACCTGGTTTTATCTATTTTTATTTTATTATTTCAAATACTGAAGTGTTTTTTTTTTTTTTTTTTTTTTGACAAGCAGAGTTAGACGGTGAGAGAGAAAGGTCTTCCTTCCGTTGGTTCACTCCCTAAATGGCCACTACAGCCAGCGCTGTGCTGATCAGAAGCCAGGAGCCAGGTACTTCTCCTGGTCTCCCATGGGGTGCAGGGCCCAAGCACTTGGGCCATCCTCCACTGCACTCCCAGGCCACAGCAGAGAGCTGGACTGGAAGAGGTGCAACTGGGACAGAACCGGCATCCTAACTGGGACTAGAACCCAGGGTGCTGGCGCTGTAGGCGGAGGATTAGCCTAGTGAGCCACGGTGCCAGCCAAAACTGAAGTTTTTTTTTCCCTTATTTTGAGAATTTTCATTTGTTAAGTGCTGAAGACACAGAGATGATCAGGGCTGTCAAGGACTTTGTCTTTGTGGAACTTACAATCTGGAGGGAGAGATAGAAATAAAATAGGTAAAGAAACAAGATAGTGACTGTGAATATTTTCACAACTTGATTTATAAGGCAACATGGGCTTGGAATGCTTAGAGTAGAACGGTGGTCATTGAGATGGTGACGTTTTAAGCTGACATTATGAAGACAGAAATGAATCAGGCATTCAAAGAGCCTAGAGGAAAGACCCAGGCAGAGAGAGCAGCAAAGGGAAAGGTAGAAGCAGGAAAGAGCTTGCTGTGTTTTTGTTGTTGTCTTGACTGTCTAGGAACATTTGTTTTGTTTGTTTGATTGTTTTCTGAATGGAGAACTGGGTTGTGAATGGAAGAGGGAGGAGGAGGTGGAGTGGGAGTGCAGGTAGGAGGACGGATATGGTGGGGAGAATCATTATATTCCTAAAGTTGTACTTAAGAAATTTGTACTCATTAAAGAAAATGTTTCTTTGGAGAAAAGAAAGAAAAAAATGTAGTCTGTGATTGCTAGAATTTAGCTAGAAAGGGGAAGAAAATTCTAGGTTAAATTTACAGAAATTTCTAAGCTAAAGTATTGAGTTCTGTTTATTTAATTTTCAATTAAAGTAATTTCAATGACTTTTATGTTACAAGAAGTTAGATCTGCTTTGTGTTTTAAAAACGAACCCAACATCTGTGTGGAAATAGTGGTGTCCAATTTGGATTTAGAAACACAAGCTAGAAGGTTAATTAAACCCTAGATAGGCAAACTATTGCCCATGAACCAATTCTGGCTGACCACATATTTTTGTAAATAAAGTTTTTAAAACACATAAAACACAACCACAATGATTTGCATACATTTTGCCTACAACACCTTTCATGCTACAGTGACAGTACTGAACTGTTTTGACAGAAACTATATGGCCCACAAGTCAAAAATATTTATTATCTTGTCCTTTATAGAAAAAGTTTGTCAACCTCTTGTCTGGATAAGAAATTTTGAGTTGGACAAGGACAATATCAATGAATATGTGGAGAGGCTGGGAGTTCCTTTGTGTAGTTCATGAATACAACATTCAGAATATGATAACGGCTTTGATGTAAGCAATGAGATAATCAAGAATTATCCCCAACTGATGAAAATTCCTCTGTATATGGTATGCTATCTTTTCATAAAGATTTATTTATTTGAAAGTCAGACTTGGTGGGGGGAGAATCTTCCCCCTGATGGCTACAACAGCCAGGGCTGGTTCAGACTGAAGCCAAGAGCTTCTCCAGGTCTCAGGGTCCAAAGCACTTGGACCGTATTCTGGTGCTTTTCCCACACGACCAGCAGGGAGCTGGATTGAAAGTGGAGCAGCCAAGACATGAACTGGTGGGCATGGGGGATGCCAGCATTGCAGGTGGCAGCTTTACCCACCACACAGCAATTCGGGCCCCATGTTTGTAACAGTCAAGAACACAAGGAATAGTTTTGTGCAGGAACCATGTATGTGAGAGACATTACAGAGAATTAATCACAGAATCCACCTAGAGAGAGAGCTAGAAAGAATTTATGGCTTCGAATGTGTATTGAGTGCCTCTGTTTCAAGTCATTTCCTTCTTTCTTCATTACCCAACCCTTTTTATCTTCTGTAGGATCTGGCTTGGTATTTCGTATTAACATTCCATGAATCTTATATTATCCTTTCAAAATAAATGCTATTATTTGTTGTAAACATATAAGAAAAAATGGTCTCAGATAGATAATTGGTAGAGTTTTGATTTAAAAGCCTATGATCTTCTCACTCTACTGTTTTGCTTCTCAAAGAAAATCTGTGTGTTGAACATTAGTAGGATGTCAGGTGTCACTCATGTCTACCTTGCTGCTCCCTCATGTGGTGCAACCAGAGAGATATTCAGTGAAACTTCATGCAGTCTCTCAGTATCCCTAATATCCCAGTAAAGAAAATCATATCATCCATCAGTTACTGCTGTAGTTTAAATATGGGTTGTACACCTTAATTCATGCAGGAATTTAGTCTCCCAAAGTCTTATGTTAAGATAGGAAGAAAATAGAAATGTAATCTGAATATGATGTTTAGATGTGGGACCTTGGGAAGTGTTTAAATTGGATAATGCCATTAGGGATTAAATCCCCATGATTTAATAATGGGGGATTTATAAGGGAGGGAGGGAGGGAAGGAGGAAGAGAGAGAGAGAGAGAGAGAGAGAGAGAGAGAGAGAGAGAAATTAGTTCTTACCACAATGTTTTGAATCCCAGAGGGGTCCTCATAAGAAATTGTCTCCAAACCTAAACAAAATTACCCTCTTTTCTTTACCAGTGGTGTGCCTCAGGTGTTTTGTTATAGTAACCAAAACCAGAATAATATATTTACAAATAGCAATTTAAATAAAAAGAAGTGCACTAAAATGTTGCGAGACTCACAGAGTTTCCAGGAGCACCAGCTAGCCAGTCTTAGAAGATGCACAAAAGAATGATATCCAAACCCATGCAGCAGTACCAGGTTGGTAAAAAATCACAAATCTCCTCCACTGGTCCTGAATACCATCACTTACATTACTGTACACACTTGCAATGTTGTATAGTATGGATGCTGTCGTTATAACTACTGAAACTGCTATGCTGAAACAAGATATATGTGCTGGCACTGCCACTACTCATTGCTGGCATTACCATACCCCCTTCAAGTGAATCTCAATACTTTCTTCATTAACTGTTGAAATCTTTCAGAAGCTCCTGCTACATCTCCCTCATCATCCACTGGAATGTGGTAAAAGATCTTAGTTATAAAACACAGATTTTGTAGCAAGATAAAAAGTTCATCTTGCTTGGCATGAAGGCAGTCTGAGACAATTAAGAATATTATAATCAGGGCTGGTGCTGTGGCGTAGTGGGTAAAGCTGCCACCTGCAGTGCTTGCATCCCATATGGACACCAGTTCAAATCCTGGCTGCTCCACTTCTGACCCAGCTCTCTGCAATGGCCTGGGAAAGCAGTAGAAGATGGTCCAAACCCTTGGGCCCCTGCAACTGCATGGGAGACCCAGAAGAAGCTCCTGGCTCCTGGCTCCTGGCTTCAGATTGGCACAGCTTCAGCCGTTATGGCCAATTGGCAAGTGAACCAATGGATGGAAACCCTCTCTTTCTCTCTCCCTCTCTCCCTCTCTCCCTCTCTCTCTCTCTGACTCTGCTTCTCTGTGTAACTCTTTCAAGTAAAATAAATAAATCTTAAAAAAGAAAAAAGGAATATTATAATCAACAAAGGACGTTCACATGGTTTTCTCCAGAATTCTTTCTCAATTGGTGAGGTATTCAGATCAAGTGATCTGTTAATAACTGTCTAGACAACTGTTAACTAATAGCTTTTTAACAGCTGTGTTTATGTCATTAATCTGCAATAATACAATTATCTAAGATTTATTCTAACACTGCCATGAATCATATGTCTTTTAAAAAATATTTATCTTACTTATTTGAGAGGTTCACATAGAGACAGACTGAGATCCCATCTACTGTTCACACCATAAATACCTGTGAACCAAGACTGAATTCAAGTTTTCCACATAGGAGGTAGGAACCCAACCACTTGAGCCATCACTGCTGCTTCACAAAATGTGCCTTAGCAGGAAGCTGCCTCTTGAGCAGAACAGGTACTTGAACCAGTCATTCTGACATGGAATATGGGCATTTCAGGCATTTTCAGATGTGCATTCCAAATGCATATCTCTCATTTGATATGTTGCTTAGTGAGTAGTCAATAAGTATTTCACGTAGAAAACTATGGCAACATTAGCAATGAATTCCCTTTCAATGTATTCTACTACTATATATGCAATAAATCTTTCCTTGATTAAAGATATTTGGACTCAATTCATGCAGTCTTTTGAGAAGATACTCAAGAGGAAAAGAAATTATTGATGATTCTATGTTTCTCTTCATCTCTTTGAAGTCAAGGAGTTTGACTTTTTGCTAGTCTACTCTTTAGATAGGTATGAGGATCTTAGAAAGTATAAAAATAGTCCTGGCAACACTATTACTATTATAGTTCAAGTTGGATTCCCATCATTAGAACACATGAATGTCCTTTAATGTTATAAATTCACAAATTCTACAAAGAATTTAAATCTCTTCATTGGGCATCCTAGATTTAAA